GTAATCCCCCCTCCCCTTTTTTTTGGTGCCTTCTTGCCTGTGACTTTTTAACCATAGTTTGACTTTGTGACAGTATCATCTTATGTACTATTTTTCTACCTTTCTTAACACCTTTGTTTGGGATTTAGTTCTGTAACTAAGTATACATAGCATTTCCTAGCAGACCTTTCCTTGAAGTTTTCCCAGTGACTTCTTGGTTGGCTAAATCTCATCTCATCATCTGCTAGATTCCTAAGGAATGCTTGTGGAAATATTTCTTAAGTTCTTACTTATTTAAACTGTTTCCCAGATCCTTGATACTTGAAGGCCTGCTTGACTGGTTATAAAATCCTTGAGTCATAGTCTGTTTAAATTTCTTGAAAATTCTGCCCTCCTTTTACTTTGTTTACCTTGCTGATGGGCCAAACTGAAATTTCAAGTGTTTGTTCTTTTATCTAGACTGAATTGTTTTACCAAGATATGTTTATATCAGCTATTCAGGAAATGTTTTCTTTGGTATGTGGTTTTAGAATGTAGATTAATGTTTTCAATAAATTTGCTGTAATATTTGTTTATTGATTGTTTTTGGAAGTACTAGAGATTGAATTGGGTCCCTAGCTCTTAAAATCAATTATTGTTATTATTTTGAAATGGTTTTGTGAACTTGCTCAGGTTGGGTTCTGACTTCTGATTCTCCTGCCTCTGCCTCACAGAATGCTGAGATTACAGGCCTGTGCCACCATGCCTAATTTACTGTTTCAGTTTTCAGTGTTCTTTGCTTTGGGACCTACATTGCCTCTCTTTTGTCTTGATTATGTAATGCATTTCACCTCTACTTTTTTATTTGCTTTCCACCTCATCACAATCTGATCTCTATAGGGTATCTTGTAATTTATCTTTTTTTTTTTTTTTTTTTTTTTGAGACAGTGCCTTGCTGTGTAGCCCTGGCTGGCCTTGAATTCACTATGTAGCCTTGGCTGGCTTTGAACTTGTAGCAATTCTGCCTCTGCCTCCTGAGTACTGGTGTTACAGATATGCCACTATGCCTAGTCATAATGTGTCTTAATTTAAATTTAGCCTGTTATGTTTTATATGTTACTATTATTTGTCAATCAGATTATGAGTTTCTGATTAGAAATGTTTTTTAATCCGTATTTAAGTATAATTTGTGAAATTTGTGAGAGTATTGCATTACATCTTTACTATATTATTGCTAAGGATTTTTTTTTTTTGTATTGGGACCTTGTGCTTGCCAGGTAGGAGCTGTGCCTCTGAGCTATATTCCCGGCCAGGTTTTTTTTTTTTTTTCTTGTCTTTTTTGAGACGGGGGTCTCACTATGCAGTTCAGTGAGCCTCTAGCTCACTTTGTAGCCCAGGCTGGTCTCAAACTTGCAGTGATCCTCCCACCTCAGCCTCTCCGTGTGTTGGGATTACAGGCGTGAGCCACCACGCCTGGCTCACCCTGCCAGGTTTTTGTTTCTGTGTTCCAACTTTGTTTTGTTTTTAACTTTTTATTCCTTTTAGTAACTTCATGTGGATACTGACACATTTTTTTCTGTTCTGCTGATCTGTGCTACATTGTGCTTGACCGGCAAAAGGCAGTCTTAAATTGTGGGTGAGATTTGGATAGTGTCATCAGTCTCTAGTTCAGGGGCTCTCTTATTTGTTGCTGTTATACAATTTTTTTTAAAAAATGTTCTCCCAAAAATTCTTCTTGTCTTACTAGAGCTTTTGTCTTCTGGTCACTTCCTTTATCTTCACCTTCAATCCTCCAGGTGACTCTTCTTTTGAGGTGCCTGCTTTTCTCCTAGAAGCTGTGCCTTGCTAAAACTGCTGCCTTTGATCTCTTGAGTCTTTTCTTTTTGCCTCTCCAGTTGGCTCAGATCATGTCTTGGATCTGCCGCTGGAACTTCGTCTTACAGAGGACCCTCTCACAGGGTGAACTTTAGGTAGTGAGTGTGCATTACGCAGCCACTCCAAGACGGCTTTGTGGCTTCCTTGCCCGTTGTCATTGGAGCTTCTTGTTTTAGATGTCTGTGCACTCAGATGTGAATTGGAATGTTTAGGTATTTTTTATCTCCTTAAGTTATAAAGTCATCAGTGCTGATTCATTTTCTCTCTAGGTCTCTTGGGTTTTTATAAGGATTTATGGAGTGTTTAGAAATTAGGACTTCATCTTTCTTACGTGTTTTGCCTTAAGATAATAGTGCTGGTTTTAAAGTAACTTTTAATCCAGATTTAATAAATTAAGTAATAGGCTGTATTTCTGTTTTTCTCTTACTGTGATCATCCCACTATTTTCCAAGGAGAATTTATCATTGCAGTAATTATGAAGTTCTTCGACATAGCTGATTTTCAATTATGTGTCACCTTGAGTTTTGCAGAGATCTGTTTAGATAGTATTAATCAGGAATGCTATATTCTCCCTTTAAATGACATAATTTAATACTGGAGAAAAAACAAGATACGAAAAATCTGGCACATTTTATTATACATTCAGGGAAGCTATAGTATCCAGAAAGCACAGGATGATCATTATTACACTCAATTCTGCTGCTTTGGCAAGATCGTATCTGTAGTTTTTGCTTTTGATTCCAAAACTTCCAGACTAGACCAATGATTTTCTAGTGCTAGTACTCCACAAAAATAGAAAATTCCCACAGGTCTTGTTTAAAAATTTGTTTTATCGTTTCTTTCTTTTTTAGATATTAAGATACCTTTTGTTTTGTGAAATACTGACAGATTTTTAAAAATGATTTGTTTTGAAAATGAAAATTTAACAACTATTTCAGCTCTCCAGTTTGTTTTTTGAGACTTTACTGGTTTTTAAAAAATAAAGTATGGAAACAATATTGTATTAACCTTAGAGAGTGATCCAGAATTTAAAGAGACTTAGACCTTTCTTGTATGAAACAGGTAAGAGAACAAAGATGTTTAATTAGGAAGGAGAGAAAACCTTACAAACTAGACTCTTACAGAGCTAGAGTACAAGTTAGAGGGAGAAATTTGGATCTGCTTATATAAAGACATTTTGGGGGCTGGGGACTCAGTGGTAGAGTTGCTTGCTTAGCAGTTACAAGGCTATAGGTTCAATCCCCAGCACCACAAACAAAACAAACAAGTTAGGTAGCTAATTGGCCACTGGGATCAGATTTAGCTGTGTGTACCAAATGTACCAAATGGCATTTAGGTTTTCTTTATATTACCCCAGTTAGCCTCGCTCCCTGTCCCTCCCCAGTATTATTATTTTTTTTAATACATCTTTTTTTTTTTGTCCTTTTCTTTTTTATCAGTACCGGGGATCGAACTCACGACTGCCTGCTTGCAAAGCAGGCGCTTATGCCGCTGAGCTAAATCCTCAGCCACCCAGTATTATTTTTAATGGTGGTAAAGTTTCTCGTTTGTTAAAGGTAGGAAAAGAACAAAGTTTGGACTGAGGAAAAAGGAACCCAAAAATAAAAAACACTCTTACAGTGTGGTCTTGCTGTGTAGTTCCCAGACTGGCCCTGAACTTACCATGTAACTTAGGCTAGTGATCTTCCAGCCTCAGCCTCCTGAGTTTTGGGGTTGCATGTGTATGTCCTAAGTAGGTCTTATTTTGTTTTCCTGTTTTCAATTGTTGGAATAAACAAACTTTTTTTTTTTTTTGTCTTTTTCCTTTATATCGGTACCAGGGATCGAACTCACGACTGCCTGCTTGCAAGACAGGCACTTATGCCGCTAAGCTAAATCCCCAGCCCCAAACAAACTTATTTTAACATAAAATTCCCCCCCCCCCTTTCTTGAGACAAGGTCTCACTATGGAGTTTATGCAGGCTTTGAACCCACTGTGTAACGCAGGTTGGCCTGAATTTGCAGCAATCCTCATGCTTCAACCTCTTGAGTGCTGAGATTACAGGCATATGTCACCATGCCCAGCTGTTAACATTTAATGTAAAACCAGAGAGGGGATAAAAAGTCACCTTTAGGATTTCTTTTTGCTGGTTGTAGTGCTGTACCACAGATTATAAGATATTAAAGATAAAACATATTGTTTGTGCATAGACTTAAAGAATTTTGGGAGGGAGCTAAATGTACTCTTTGAGAGATTCTGTTCTCTTTACAAAAACACTTTTAAAGTTGAAGTATAGTTTACTCCCAGTAAAATTCATAAGTCTTGGGTGCATGGTTCTTTTTGTAACAAATGGAGCATTTCTCTTTGACCAGATAGTTTCAGCTTTGAAATTTCTCTAATCAGTGAAGCTGGTTGGGTCACTGGTAAGCTGTAGCTGATAATACAGTACTGTTGGGCTGGGAGTTTAACTCAGTGGCACAATGCCAGCTTGACAAGCACAAGTTAGTGAGTTCAATCCCCAGCACCAAAATAAATAAATAAAAATTTTAAAAAAGACAATGCTGTAAGTATTTAAATATTTTTACCAAGTGCTTACTCAGGTTGTTTTTTCTTTCTATGCTAAGGATTGAACCTGAGATCTCTCTTATGCATATGCTGTATGCTGTGCTACCCTCCCTAGTCCCAAGACTTCGATTTTCTTTCTTTTGAGACAGGGTCTTGCTACATAGTTAAGGCTGGCCTCAAATTCGTGAGTGCTGGGGTTGTAGATGTGCACCAGCATGACTAGCCTCTGCTTTTTATTTATGGATTATTTTAAACATGAAAATACAGAGTATAGGGGTCAGGGATACAGCTCAGCAGCACAGCACTGGCCTGGCAAACACAAGGTTATGAGTTCAATCCCTGGTACCAAAAAAACAAAAAACAAAAGTAATACGGAGTATAATATAGAAAATCTGCCACCTAGCATTGCTAGTTACCAATTTTTGGATTACTTTTCCACCTATGATACCTAACTGCTGCTATGTGTTGACAAAATTCCAGGCATTTCAAGTAGGTTTGACTTTCATCATTCATCTTGGTTTGAGGCTTCATTCCTTTGTTAGTCTTGGGGGAGGGGATGTTTTTTGCATTAGTGGAAAGAAAATGATGGAAAGGTATATTTAGTACTATTAAAGAAAATCATATGGACTTGAATCAAGGCTGACAGTTTTCTGAAACTGTTGGTTTCAAGCAGGAGCCTAAAGTGGTATCTTTCTATGGTCTGTTGGCCATTTCAGAACTTCCTTGGTGAATTGGCTGGGGTGGGTCAGAGAAGCCACCTCACCCCCCCCCCCCAACCACAGAGGAGAGAAGGCCACGCCCCAGGCATTCTGTTCCACAGCCTTTGTAGCGTTGCACCTGTACCCTTCCAAGGAACCTCGGATTGAAGGAATCCAGGTCCCTAACTTCAATGGACAGCCAATGCAGGAAACACCTGGGACTCAGTAAATCAGCTGATGCAGAGGAACACAGGAAAAGGTCAAGCTGAAGGAACAGGATGCCATCTCAGACCTCCAGCCCACCCAGAAGAAGTCCAGGAGATGTAGTAGACACAAAAGAAATTAGAAATCACACACCTGAAATTTATGAAATGATGACAAGTTAGTGCTTATATTGTTTAATTAATTTAGCATGTCTATCTATATCTCACCCAGAACAAGTCCAGGAGACATAGTCATAGAGGAAATTAGAAGCCACATGTGAAATTTCTGAGATAATGGCAACTGAAGTAAAGAAACAATTTAGAAGAAAAAAAAAAAAACTTGTGTAGTCTCTACCAAATCTAAATTGCTATTACAGTTGGGCGTTGCTTAATGGAGGGACTATGTTTTGAGAAATGTTACAGATGCTTCTTTTTGTTAAAACATCATAGTGCGCTTCCTTAAACATAGCTGATGTAAGTGAGCCACTCCTGATGCAACCAAGATGTGAAAAGCCCAAGAAGTATGTACTGTAGCCAGGCATAGTGGCACATCCTGTAATCTCAGCACTTGGGAGGCTGATGCCACAGGATCATTAAGAGTTTGAGGCCAGTCTGAACTGCATAGTAAAATCCTGTCTCAAAAAGACCAGGAAAAAAAAATATATATGTGCTACAACATGATATATTGTGTTATGGTGAACTTTCTGTTTTTATGAGTAGAAATGTAATCTAAAAACAATGATAATAAATACAGTAGAATACTTAAACCAGTGAGTTTTATTCTTATCAAGAATTATGTATTATACCTAACTGAACTGTATGCTACGCAGCATGTGATTTCATTTCATTTAAAATTTGTCATATTTTATTGATGTTAATAGCCTAATGTTACTTGGCAGGCGAGAAACTACACTTCTTTAAATTTCAGTCTTTATCTTTGTTGATTCATGTTTGCAGTGCACAGTGATTACACTGGGCATGAGAGTTGGTTCATATTACACCCTCAACCCCATTAAGAATCTGTACTTTTAGAGAACTGATTTTTGCTTTTAACAAGGGTTCGGAAAAGAACAATGAACTTTTTTCTGCAGTAGATCACCCTAGGTAGTTTTTTTTTGTGTGTGTGTGGTGGGTCTGGGGGTAGAACCCTCCAGGGCCTTCTGTGTAATAGGTAAGAGCTCTACCACTGAGGTACAACTCTAGTTCCCTTCCCTTGTATTCATCTTAAGGAAAGTAGAGTTTTTCTAGAATGATCAATGGCACAGTTCTCAGTGTTGTTGTGTTTCTTACAAATATTTGCCTTGCTCATGTGGCCCATTGTGCTTTAGCTCATCTGTGGGATGGATGGACAGTGCTTTACTCCTAAGGTCCTTTAGGGGTACCTGGGATAGAGATGTCAGACTGTAGGTTTTTCAGAAATATTACTGTTCTTCAGATTGAATAAATTTTATTTATAGATCCACTACACCGATCTGTTTTCTACTGTTGAGTCTATATAGTGAGCTTTCTTCTTTCAAAGAATGTCTCAAAGATGTTTTACTACTGGTGCCTTGAGCATTTTTCATAACTAATGTAAAACCTTAAATATTTCACTCATCTGTTCTTGGCACTTGTTGATTGTCTTTTCTCAGGTAAATTGAGATTTTCTTGTTTGAATATCATTTTGATTTATATGACTGAGTCATATAAATCCTGGAGTACGTTGATAATTTTTTTAGCAGATCTAGTTAGATTCAGTTAGTCCTAATGCCTATAGAATGTGGTTCTAATAACAGTTCATTTTTCAGAACCTTTGAGTTTGGATCTACCCTGATGTGTGCTAGGCAGTGTACTTAGTTCCGTTCTCAAAGTCTTCAGTGTTGTAAACAGGCTCAGATCCAGGTATGAACCCATAAGTTCATAAGCAGGTTTGTAGAGCTGCCTTCTTGGCTCCTCTTTTCCTGTGATCTTACAAAATGATTCCCCAGCTGCCTTTTTCACTTTCTAGTTTGAAAGCTTTAATTACTCTCTACTATGCAGTGTACTTTTGTGATTATGTCCATGTCTGGGTAGAGGTTTTTTAATTTCATTGTTTTCCAAGAATCAGCTTTTAGTTTTATAGATTTCCTCTGTCTTTTTTTCTAGTTCACGTACTTCGCTGTTACCTTTATTATTTGCTTCTGCTTCCTTTGTATTTGTTTATTTTTTGTAATTTTGTTTTCTAATTTCTTTCTATCTTTCCTTCCTTCCTTCCTCCCTCCCTCCCTCTCTCCCTCCCTCCCTCCTGTATGGGGAATCAAAGTCACAACCTCACACTTGCCAGGCAGGTAGTGTGCTGCTGGGCTATACCCGGGCCCCTGTTTTATGAGTAGGAATATAATCTAAAATAATGATAATAAATACAGTAGAATATTTAAACAGTACAAGCTCAGATAATTTTTTGAAACCTTATTTTTTTGGTACTGGGAATTGAACTTATGATCTTGTGCTTGCCAGGCAGGTCTTAGGCTACTGAGCTATGTCCCTGGCTCCTCAGCAGTATCTTTTAAAATTGCTGTAATGTTTGACATTTAAAGTATATGCACATGGGAGTTTCTTTTTTTTTTTTTTTAAGGCAATTTTCTATTTTAGAATTTCCATTTTTAAGTTTCCATTTTGTATTTAGATTCTTACTTTCTAATTGCATTAGTATTTTTCTTTAAATCTTTATATACTACATAACAGTTACTAGTTTTAAAGACTTCACTGCTTCCCCTATCATTGCTACTTGTTTCTATTAATATCTTCCTGTAGGTCATGGGCCACCATTCTCTGCTTGTTTGCATTTCTAGTCATTCCCCCTCCCCTGCATTTTTTGATACAGTGGTCACTCATTTATATTGAATGTCTGCATCCTGTTACTTTCCTTAATAAAAAGATTTGATTAGTAGGTAATTTGCTTGCATAGAAATTTGTTCTTTGTAAGATTTATTTTTAAGTTTTAGTAAATGTGGGGCAAGAAGCCCTGCTTCTAAGTAGTGGGTTTTCTGGGTCTTTGCTGAGTCCTGGAGTGTCAGTGAAGTCCGTTCAGCTGCATATTCAGCACTCAGCTGTCTGCCAGCTATGTTTTAGGATTATTCTACTTGGTACCTGTACCTGGGTTCAGCAGGCTCTTTCCATGGATCTGCCCAGGTTAATGTTTTAACCAAAAATGCCTGCACAGATCACCAAAGCTTCCTTTCTGTACAATTTTCTGGTACCCTGGCCCATAAATTTTAGCTATCCCAGCAGTTTCTTATTCAGATATCTGCTCAGATTAGTGAGACTGCTGAGCTGTTTGGGGCTCCCTCAACATTCTGCTGTCTAGAAAATGCCTCTAGGCAGAAACGGAATATTTTTGGGATTTAGCTTGCTTTCCTTCTGAGAACCCAGTCCTCTGTTGGCTGTTGTCCAATGGCTGAAAACAGTTATTTTCATATTTATTTTTTAGTTTTATGCTTGGCAGAACGCTGATCTGTTGTCAGTTGTTACTATACAGTCTATAAGTCTGAGTGTGTAGTGCCAGAATTTAGCACATGGGATTTTATTATCTGTTAAAACAATTCAGTCTATTTTAAGAACATCCTGCTTGCTTTATTGCCTCTATAGTAGAATGTTAATATTTTAAATTCTAATTACTGCTGAAAGATATAGTCTATAGTGTTTTAATATTTTTGAAACTATTATTAAATAATTTTGAACTGACAGATGCCTGTGTCACAGGCAGAAGGACACATAGAGTACTGTGGCATTCCTTTCATACCGAGGGGAATCCTCATCTACCACTTTGAGATTTTAAGAAGAGTTTCAGGTGAAGGACTGTAGACTTTTTTTTTTTTCTACACAGAAGATTGAACCCAGGCTCTTGCACTTCCCTTGTCCTAGGACAGTGCTCTGCCACTGAACTGTATACATCCTCAACTTTTATTTTTTCTTTCTTTCTTTTTTTTTTTTTTTCTCTTTTTCCTTTTTATTGGTACCTGGGATCGAACTCACAACTGCTTGCTTGCAAGGCAGGTGCTTATGCCGCTGCGCTAAATCCCCAGCCCTTTATTTTTTATTTCAACATAGGATCTCACTAAGTTTTCCAGGCTGGACTTGAACATATTATCCTTCTGTCTCAGCCTCCTGAGTAGCTGGAATTACAGACATGTGTTGTCACACCTGGCTAGACTTGTATTTGTGTTTGAGGCTGGCCTTCAACTTACTGTGGAGCCCAGCTGGACTCCGAATTATGGATGTGTGCTTCATCCTTGCCATTCGATCACTTTATAAAACTGATGTTTGGGGTTGGGAATTTAGCTCAGCAGCATAAGCACCTGCCTTGCAAGCAGGTGGTCGTGAGTTCGATCCCCAGTACTGGAAAAAAGAAAAGTGGGGGGGGGGGACACAACTGATGTTCAATGAATTAAATATGAAATTTCTGCTCAGGCTATGGTATATACATAAACACATACTTACTTTGTATCTCTATCTTTTTTTTCCCCTAAATAAAAAGTAAAGTTCCCAGAAAATTTAGTTTAGGCCTACTGGTTTTGTTAAGATGGCACTAAATAAAAATCTTGTCACTCTGGGTGTAGTAGTGCATGTCTGTAATCCAGCACTTGGGAGCTTGAGGTAAATGGATCAAAAGTTCAAGCCTAGTCCAGGGAATTTAGTGATTAGTGACTAAAAGACCCTATCTCAAATCCAACAAAGAACTGGGCATCTGCCTCATTGCAAAGACTTTGAACTCAGTCCTCAGCACTGAGAACGAAAAAGCCATAATAGCAGTCCTGTCGTGTAGTTCCGTAGAACAAATTTCAGGGGTTTTTAAAAATTAGTAAATAAATCTTTGCCACCACCCCCCACTTTATAAAAA